TACCTCATTGCGTAGAGTATTAACCTCATTCTGCAACAATAAAACAATCTCGCGTAAAGCGACAACCTCATCATGTAAGGTAGATATCTCACCGTGTAGCGCACCATTGTCATCGCATAAAAAGGCCACCTCACCACGTAAAGATCGAACCTCATCACGCCATGCACCATTATCTTCACGTAAAGTACCGACCTCATGACGCAAAGCACCGACCTCATCACTTAATTCCCCTAACTCATCCTGTGGAGGTGGAAAACAGGGAGATAAATGTCGTGACCTCTTTGTTGGTCGCCTAACATGAGTGATGGTGGAGAAGAGGCTCGATGATGTGATGGAATAGGTGATGGTGGAGGTGGAGAAGAGGCTCGATCAGGTGATGGTTTCGGGTGTCGAGCTGTAGAATCGGCCCGAATAGGTGATGGCTCTCGAGATGGGGGTGCTCATCATCCGTCCCATCAAAAAACCGCTTACTAGCTTGCCACCAATCAGTGGCAAGCTTAGCCTCTGTAGGTGTCAGCCTATGTAATGGATAGTTGGCCACCTAACAATATAAAAGCTCAAACAAAGTTAAACTTGTACTAGTAATAACTTGTTTATATATGGTATTATTTGTGTGTTAACTTACATCATTCATCGTCGTATATGGGAGTAACTCTTCCCAATCCAACATGCGGATCCTCTTCCAGGTAATAGCCCTAGAAATATCATTTGATCTTTTTATCGTATATGTCCGCATGCTGAGGAAAGCCTCAATTATCCAAATCTACAAACAATATAATACACAAACATTAGTAATTGTTAAATAATTAATTATAATTTTGGAAACATTATAATATAGAAATTCTTACCTTAAAGGCCCAAGTAAAGTCTGTCAAAGTGTATTTAGAACCATCTCCCCGCAAACTTTTTCGGTCCTCAAAGTCAGACGACAACTTATTCCAGGTAGCTTTACATAGATATGAATCCCACGGAAACAGGTTCCATGCATTTAGGTCCTCTACCAATAATATTAGGTCCTCGGAGATTGGTTGTCTGCACTCTTTGCCTAAAAAGTCAGCATGCAAAAGTAATAAATGACATACTCAGACAATATCAAGGTCATCCATCCGAGTAAAACCATCTTTATCAAATAATCTCTTCAAGTCGTCGACGTGTATACTCGGCTTCGACTTTGTCAGCTCAGGAAAAACCCGATATAACCATGATGTGCGGGCGATATGACTAGTGTACCGACCTACATCATCGTGTCTGAAGCGTAGACTGGTGATTAAGCAAAATTCCTCCCGCCCAAAACAAGTATACGCCGGTGCCGGAGGAAAATGAAACCATATCTCTTCATCACCACGTTGTACCCCCTCGGGTAGATCGTTAGTCATGGTCTGAAGAAACAAATGTGTCAACATAGCATCTCCACCCGGATGTTGTACTTTCAGCCATGGCCCGAAGCAAGTATCCTCAAACAATTTTCTTTATAGAGGTGTAAGCGTCGATGCAATTTTAGTGGCTATGCTTAATTTATTCCTTAAGGTCAATTGAGCCGAAACAAATTTCTACAAAAACAATAAACATACCAAGTAGATATACCAAAAACTACAAATTATACACTACAAACATACATGATATTAAACAGTAAAAACAAATCCAAATATGTTTCAAACTAGCACGGTATTCACTCAAGTCATTATTCCATCATAGTTCACAAAATGCATCAGATAACATTCCAGAAGTAAGCACTTATATAAACATTTAAAAGGACAACATATAGGTTTAGTGCAGGTTCAAAGACAACATAAAGAGTAGTAGTTTATTCTTGAAACTTAAATTAGCAACAATGTGAAGTTAGTATTTGTCTTTGTTTTTTGGTTGAAGTAATACAATTCATTGAAGTTTCAATTTGGTGAATAAAAGAAGTTTCTAAAATGAAAATCGCAAAGCGATTTTAGTTTCGCGTTGTGAATTTGGTGTTGCGATTTAGGGTTTCTTCAACAAAAAGACAAAACAAAAAGACAAATACTAACTTCACAGGGTTAAAGACTAAACAGTTTAGCAGTATTGAGAGAAACCGAATGAATTTACCAATCTCAGTGAAATGGTTAATCTAATAATAATACAAAAATTTCAAAATAAAAATAAGAGATTAAAAAAACTAACCCTCAGTGGTTTATTTTCCATTTCTGACCATGAATGGTTGTGAGGGTTGATCTGAGAGATGGAGATAGACAGATTTTGTCGGAAATGAGGACGGATTTCGTCGGAGATGGAGACGGATGTCGCCGTAGAGAGTGAGAGATAGAAATGGACTGAGTTGTGCTTTAGGGTTTTAGGTTAGAGATGATTTGCGATAATACTGTTTACATTTGTGTTGTGAAATTAATATTGTGTTTCGCGTAAAAACATTTGACTTTCGCGTTGCGAATTTGACTATCGCATTGCAAATTTGACTTATGTGTTGCGATTTACAAATTCGCGTTGCGAATTTGACTTTCGCCTTGCGAATTTGGAAAATCGCAATGCGATTTATATATTCGCGTTGCGAAATTGAAAACTGGGTTGCGAATTTGTTGGTCATTTTGGCAAATCCAAAAAAAATTGGTTAAATTCGTATATTATAAGGCATTTTTTGTCACTGAAATTATTTTCTCTATATTTTAATATATATATATTCACGATATTCAAAAAGTTTTTATTTTCTCGCTTGTAATAGAAAAAATTATCATCCATCTTTTCTCTCTCTCTCAGAGGACTATTCAAAGTTGAAATAAAATAATATTTAATTATTTTATAATTTAATTTCTGATTTTTTCCATATTAATTTCAAAAGTAGTTAATTTTTTTGTTTGATCCTCAAATATAAATTCAATCTTTAGATAACAGTGTGACGCTTTAAATTTATGTCACGCCATTACATAAAAAATTAAATATAAAATTGGTAAATATATATAATTTCAAATTTTGTATAAGCAAAAAGAATGGATTAATAACAATAAAAGGTGGAAAATTTTAGAATTGCTTAAGAAGGAAGGGTGATGATATTACGTCCATATAATTAAATATTAGTATTATATATAATATTTAATATTAAAATAAGTGTTCAAATTATACCACTTTTGTCGAATAAGTGCCTAAACTATTTTTTTACTCATTTTGGTGCCTTACAAGCATTACCATTTTAAGTGCCCAGGCCGTTAACAATGTTAATTTCTCCCGTTAAGTGACATGTGTTACAATCTAGTGATTTTGAAATTTATTTTTTAAAAATATTAAAAATATTAGAGAAAATAACCTCAGTGACCGAAAATGCCTTATAATATACGATTTTAACCAACTTTTTTTGGATTTGCCAAAATGACCAACAAAATCGTAACACGATCTTAAATTCGCAAAGCGAACTCTAATTTTTCAACTCAGTTTCCAAATTCGCAACGCGAATATCCAGATTCGTAACGCGATTGTAAGATTCACAACGCGATTTTGAAAAATGTGTTACGATAGTTAAAATGTGTTGCGAGAGTTTGAAAAACGTATTGTTGCGATAGTGAAAAGTGTTGCGATAGTGAAAAATCCAAAATAAGTTTACATTTTAACTATTCCAAATTCACGTGGAGTTTGAAACAATAAAGAATGTATTGCGATAGTGTAAAAGATTCCCAAGTGTTGGCAATGTTCAATCCCACATAGTATTGGAAACACTATTGGGAATGAGTATTTAAGGCTTGGATTTCCCACTTCCTTGTTGAGTGGAAGAGAACAAGGGGGACTCTCGCGCACCGCCGCCGCCGCCGTCTCGTCTCGGGTCGTGGTCGTAGTAATACGTGTCTTCAACACTTCCGCATGGATACTATCTTTTTAGAGAAAATTCTTAAGAAACAAATGCAATACCACCAGTCATTGCGATTTTGGAAAATCACAACGCGAACTTAGACTATCGCAACGTGAACTTGGACTATCGCAACGAATTTGGAAAATCGCAACGCGAACTTGGACTATCGCAACGTGAACTTGGACTATCGCAACGAATTTGGATTAACGTAAATTTGGAAAATCGCAACGCGAACTTGGACTATCGCAAAATCGCGTTGCGAATTTGGAAACTGAGTTGAAAAATTAGAGTTCGCGTTGCGATTTTGTTGGTCATTTTGGCAAATCCAAAAAAAGTTAGTTAAAATCGTATATTATAAGGCATTTTCGGTCACTGAGGTTATTTTCTCAAAATATTATTATATTTATTAAAAAAATTAATTTCTCTTAAATTATAAAAAACCCCAAAATCTCCTAACCTTAATCTGTCGCCATCGCTCTTTCCGACCACATCCATCGTCGCCGGCGTAGTCCATACTCTCCTCCTAGTCATATGTCGTCGTAGTTGTCGTCGATTGACGGTCAGAATCACGTGGGATCGTGATTTTCTACATAGTGTTCCAAGGGTATGAAACGTCGGTTGGTCAAAATTTCATATGGGTTTTGGTCGTCGGGGGAGGTGAGGTCAGGTGGAGCTTCATCGACGGTAAAAGGCGATGACTAGCGTGTGTTTAGTGGTTGAAATGAAAGTTTTCAAAGTTTTGGGGTTATTTCAATTTTTTGTATTTTCTTTTTTAAAAATATATAATTTTTAATTTTAAATAAAATTTTTAAAATTAATATATTGTGACACGAGTCACTTAACGAGAAAATTAACATCGTTGATGGCCTGGGCACCTAAAGTGATAATGTTTGTAACGATAGACGCCATGATGAGTTAAAAAATAATTTAAACACCTATTTGAAAAAAGATGTATAGTTTAGGCACTTATTTTAGTATTAAGCCTATATATAATATTATAATTCAACCCACAAGCTATAGCTATAGCTATAGCTAGATCGAATATATGAAGCAGCCCAACGAGCTTTTTAAGCAGTGGCCCAACTGCTATGCCGGGAAGTGTCCCTCAAGCCTCCGGCTTCAACAGTCCGCATTAGAACAAGTATAAAAAAGAAGCGACCTTTCTCCAAATCTTCTCCAGAAACAAGAAAGTTAAAATATTTATAGGAAATGAAAAGGTGAGAATTCTCTTTTTTCATCTATCGCCAAACGCAACTGAAAACCCTGTCGATCGCAGGAGAGAGGGAATCGGGAAATATGGGGAAGAAAAGGAAATCAATAGCTACGAGCCTCGATGAGGTGGATCGGACTATGTACGCCTCTTTTTCCGGCGCCGCTAACTCCTTGTCTCAGCTTTATACTCTGGCTATGAATCAGCAAAAACTCTCCTTCCAAGCTGGCAAACGCCATGGCCTTGTATTCTCTCTCTTCATCTCCACACACACACACACGAACAAATCATATTCCTTTATATTTGGGTTTTTATTTGCATGAAATCTTATCTTTATGAATTTTTACATCTGTTCTTGCATCTGGGTTTCGTGTCTTATTGCGTATCTATTTTTAGTGTTTCAAAGTTAAATGATTTTGATTAATCAAGCCTTTTTTTATTCTTATAATTTATGTTTACATTTTGGTAAAAATATCATCGATGCCTCTATGCTTACGGATCTACTGGTTTGGATTAACCTTATTAGCTCATTGTTTGCTTGTGTGTGTGCATTTTACCTTTAAGATAGCGTGGTGCATTTTGGTCTTGATGAAAAACCTAAATGATAGTAATATTTATTTATTTAAAGAAGAAATGCTGTTGTCGATGTGTTGTACATTTAGCAGTGATTGGAACTGATTGCTAGAGGATGCTTAATTGCTTTTAAGTCATGGTAAGTTAATATCACCAGAAGAATCCCCCCTCTATTCCCTTTTTTTCCAGCTCAATATTCGCTAATTGCAGTGCCCCAGCTGTGAAAATGCAGGGTTGTGCCAATCAGATCATATTTTCTTTCATGTTTAAGGATAAGGTTATAGTCTCCGCTTCTTAGGCATCATAATTGTGAAGCTAATGAATTCATGATATTTCTTCCTTAAGCATATTCCTTTTAACGCTTGAAACTTGTTAGCTACACAGTCATGCAATGCAAGCAACTTATTTAGAACCCTTACTGGGGATTTTGATGTTAAACTTTAGTTTTAATGAACTTGATTGAAAATTGGAGGGTGTACTGGCAGCTTGACAGTAACTGATAAATCTTGGTAAAGTCAACTCACTCAAATTTGCTCCAACATGCTTTAGAATCATAATTCGATTTGGAAATTTATCTTCCAACGAGGACTTTTGATTTCTTATAAATTTTACTATTTCTTTTCTTAAGAGCATTGGTCTTTTCTTGGTTCACATGACATGGGGTGTAAAATCTTCAGCTGTAAAATTATTCTTTGGTTCTATATGGCTGAATTCCAACCTTCATTTGTCAACTTGCTCAACTACTTATCTGTAAAGTGCTTCTAGTTGTGAGTTAGGAGTTTTGCTAATACATTTATTTCAACTTGTTTTTAGGAAAAACTTTATCAGTGGATTTGTAGACAACAAGAGGGAGGATCGAGAGTAACAACGATGGATATTCTCAGTTACCTTCAGGTTCACTCTTCCTTGAATATTTTATCATCTCTACTCTTTGACTGTGTATAAGCTAATGCCCTTTTAAGTGTAATGTATCTCATGAAAAATTGATCCAAGTCTTCATCTCAAGGTTGAATGATATTCCTTATTCTTGGTTGTTCTTTAATGATGTTGGATGGCATAGCTCTTCCTCCTTTCTGTGTTTATTATACATTTTACAGAATTTACCATGTAAAACCTGTGATATATTAGATCTCTCTGGTTATTATTCTATTAAGACTATTATCAGAATATAAACAACATTGAATCAATTCGTGCATGCATGCATGCTTCTTTTTTTCTTGTCCATATTTTGAGTTTTGACTAATAGTAAACAACTAAGCGTATTTGAAAGTTGGAAACTAAACCTTGTGCGTTGCACAGTACTGCTGTTTAGACATTTAACTTTTTTGGAAGTGATGAGAATTGTACCAAGCAGAGGTTGTTCCTTGTCTTTTGTATTACATGAAAGAAAATTATAAGCAAGGAACAAAGTAAGTTATCTAGATTTACCTGTTTAGAATCTTGTTCTTTCCATTGCTCAGAGGTGGTGGTTTAATTTAGTTGTTTATAAGTTAGTCTGTGCCAAGTGTACGCAAGTCGTCCTTATTGCAATAGGGTACTAATATGGAACCATATGGTTTTGGAAACATTGGATCCCATTTTATATGCTTTTATGATTAATGATTCAAGCTTCAAATTTATTTCATTGATTTATGAAATGTGAATATATCTGCATATGATTAAAATAAAATGAAAGACCCTTGTATCTTCGTAATAAGATTTGGCTGACTTCCTGGGTCTTCGTAATTTGGTGAATTCATTACTTTCTCTGTTTTTGGTTCTTAACAAATCAAATTCATCAATACAAATTAATTATACCACTTTGCTTTAATAATCCAACCAACTCGACCATTGAAATCCTTGTTAGGACTTGCCTTAGGAATATGCCACAAGCAGCATGCTGATTCTCAGTTTTTTAACTTTGAACAATAATGTTGGCTGGGTAGAGGTCTTCTTTTGCACTAAGAGCACCTATGGATCAATGATTCACGAAGAGCACTGCCATTACAGCTACAAACAGAGAATATAGACATGCAAGGGCATCCTCCTCTTGGTCTTTTCCTGTTAATTCTCTCTCGTTTACGTACACACTATTGTATTACCCTATAATGTATTAGGCGGTTGTAGTTGTCGAAGTGTCTAAAATCAATTCCTATATAAATAACTTAAGACAAATAAACAAGATAAAGTTCACTGATATGAACAGTAACTTTATTATATCTACTGCACATTAAACAACAAATGTATTTTATTCATATGTTAGAACCCTACAAATTTATTCAAGTATGTCTCTTATTACAAATCTCTCTTGTTTAGTTCCCATATTTTGCATCAGAAAGAGTGAGACTTACAAGAGGGATTATGTTCTTCAGTAGTTGAGTAGTGCACACTAATCAACTGGCTTCCAACTATCCCTAAGTGACATCATTATCATAGTGGTGAAATTAATGTTTGCTATTATAATCAGGCAATTGTTAGTTTTATAGTCTTCTAGTTTTGGCCATTAAAGGTTTGTGCAGCCGCAAGTATGTTTGCTACAAAGATTGCAAGGGTAGGTCTTCCCTTCATAAGAATATGGGAATCTTCTTATGATACTTTTAGCATGACTTACACTGTGTTTTCTATGATCCATTCTTTTTGTGATAAACGATAATTATCTTTATATATTCTGAACATTGTGCAATCTCGTAGAATGAACTAGACTACAGTGAAGAGCCATTAATGTCACCTAGAGCACCAAGCCAACATCAGCATCCCCAACATACGATGCAGTTCATGAATACCAATTTCATGGTCTCTTCAGACTCATCTGGCCAAACTGCTGGGCAGGGAACACGCTCTGACAATTGCGATCAGCAGTCCAAGAATTTAGTTTTCTCAAATGCTCTATCAAGTCCTGTTCGTCGGAGCCTCCAGCATTATCACATCGCTCAAGAAGGATCCAGGAATAATGAAGCTAGCTTTCTCCAGAACCAGACTAGGGATTCTAATCCTCTCAGCTCCAATGACACCTTGATGGACATGCATGCTGATAGTCCATCCCATGAATCTACTTACCGATAATGCTGTGTCCCCAACAATTAAAAGTGTCCAGAACGGCTGTGTTGGTGCATCACCATGCTGTTGCCGAAGTAAAGAAATCACAAATAGATGGGTTACATCACACAAAAATAAAGCAGATGGCACGGGTGACCAGCCGAAAGCATTTCAAGAAGAATAGTGTAGTGTGTTGTGCTTGTGCTTGTGCTGGGTTTGTGTTTTGGTTGTATTTGCTTTGGAGGTCTTAAATTTCAGGGTAAAGCTTTTGTTCCAATAAAAATTCAGCTACTTTCAAGGAAGAAGAAAATTCGAAGGGATTGTTAAAATTCTCTAAATTTTTTACTTTCTAAAGAATATGATTACTCATTAGGATTTGTTGGTTTTGTTTTTGTGAAGTCTTTGCTCTCCATGCTGCAGCGTCTATATAGATTCTGGTCTGATTCACTCACTCAAATGGAAATATGCTTTCTTCCTTTTATTGATTGATACCATGCCTACGTATCGCATTATTAGAATCAATCTAATCAGGAACCTGATACGTGGCATCATTCCACCAACTGTAACCTTATTTAAATAAATAAGGAAAACAAAATCTGTAACACTGTTAAATTGTTCCAAAATGAATGAAAAATTTCAGTTAGAAAATAAAACCTTCAACACTAACGAAGCAATGAGTTATACAAAGTGGCAAAAGGTTAATTATGTAATTTTGCAGAGATGATTAAAAAAGAATATAATGGATAAATTGGGACTTACAGTGATTAAAGTCAATAGTATTGTTTATCTTTCATATCTTTGTGGTGCGATTTCTGATATTCGATGTTTTCTTTCTCCTTTGTTTTTCTGCTTTAGATGTGAAGGCAGAAGCGGCTATGGATTACAATCTGAGAATGACGTGGGTTTTCAATTTTGCAGTTGTTGATTCATTGACAGTAATTAATAAATTGAACTCAACAGATTCATCAAAGATAAGAGCAGAGCAGAGCAGTCTCTCGGGATACCAAGATGATTTCAAGGGAGCTCCGTGCATTCCATCCCACGACAGGGAAATCAAGTGGCACATGCAATCACAAGATAATGTCACTCACGGTTAGGTTAGCCGCTTTCATAGTAAACAAATATTTTCTCTATTGTTAATAGTACATAATTTTATGTTGAGGTTTTTTTTAAAAATTTTAAGAGTGATAACTTATAACGAATCAAAACATACTACTAATAAAAAATTATCTAAAATCTGTGAGTTTATTTTTTAAGAAAAACAATCATCCCCGTTCATTTAACTATCCATATAATGACGGTTCATTTGATATTGTTCGGTGTAATTTTGGTTTTTAACTGAATTAAATATATTTATATGTTTAACACTTACAGTAAAAAGGTCAATAAAATGAATAAATAAATATTTTAATTTCTCATTAAGACTCGAAAGAAAGGTTACAAACAAACAAACCCAACCCAACCTTTCCTCTTTATAGTTATTTATTCCTTTACCTTTCCGACACACAATTTCCCAACATGTCTTAATTTTACTTAGTTTTTCCTTCCAAAAATAGATTATAAAGTTTTATCAACTTTCTTCTCATTTTTATTTTAATCATTAAAATTTTTAATTTTTAATTTGCTCACTAATATTTTAATTTGCTTATATTATAGTCATTTTTCATTAAATATTTAACAATATGACTAAACGTTCTTTTAAAAAATTATGAAATGAATTAATTTTTTTTGAAATACTCCTAATTTTGATTTTTGTAGTTTCTGTACAAAGTCAAAAATAATAAATGGGTTGGCACCGAAAATTAGGTGCATAATTTTTTTTATTTTTTATATGGTCAAATTACAAACTCTAGTCAATAAAATTTAGGGTATTTACAAGATTAAGTCCTTAAGATTTAGCTATAAATACCCTATCTCATTTAGCTTCAAAACCATCCCAAAGCATTTTAGCTTTCTTCCAAATACTAGAGAATTTAGAGAGTTTCTTGAGAGCTGTTTTCTCCTTTTTTATCTAGAGAGAATTATCATTGTTTTCTCCTTGGTAGATCGAGAGAGGTTGTAATTCCTATTTTCTCATAGTGAAATTCTTCTACCGTTACCCGTGGTTTTTACCCTATATTATTTAGGAGTTTTCCACATAAATTTTGTGTCTCTTTTTATTTTCATTTTTATTTTCTCAAATTATCAGTTGCGATTTTGCTCTATCTGATAGCCGTCTTCCGCAACAATTGGTATCCGAGCTAGATTAGAGTGTGTAATATCTGCTTATTGTCTTTGTGGTTGCCACCAAAAGGTGGATCCTCCAACATAAGAAAGTAAGAAGTTATTACCCATTCTTTGAAGGTTCCAGAGAGACTATTCACGATAGTGAAATAGTGGGAGCTATCCGTAAACGAAGCAATGGCAACGAAATTTGATATTGAAAAATTCAATGAGAGAAATTTCTCATTGTGGAAATTGAAGATAAAGGCCATCCTAAGGAAAGACGAGTGTCTAGCGGCTATCAATGAAAGGCCGGTGGATTTTGCAGATGACATCAAATGGAACGAGATGGACGGGAATGCTATGACAAACTTTCATCTAGCATTAACAGATGAAGTATTGTCAAGCATCGAGGAGAAGAAGACAACTAAGGAGATATGGGATCATCTCACCAAATTGTACGAGGCCACATCGCTGCACAATAAAATTTTCCTTAAGAGGAAATTGTACACTCTCTGTATGCCAAAATCTACTTCAATGACGGAGCACTTAAATACACTGAACACCTTATTTTCTCAGCTTACATCCTTAAGCTATAAAATAGGAGAACAAGAACGTCCTGAACTTCTACTTCAAAGTCTACCGGATTCGTACGATCAACTCATCATCAACTTGACAAACAGTAATGTCACCAGTCTAGTCTTCGATGACGTTACAGCTGCTGTTCTACAAGAAAAAAATCGGCGCAGGAACAAGGAAGACAGACAAGTAAATCTGCAACAAGCAGAAGCGTTGACAACGATGAGAGGGAGATCAACAGAACGTGGCCAAAGCAGCAATCACAAACATGGTAGTTCAAAGTCGAGGAGCAAGAAGAATTTAAAGTGCTACAACTGTGGAAAGAAGGGTCACTTGAAGAAGGATTGTTGGAGTCTAAATAAAAACTCCAATCCACAAGGCAATACCACAAACACTTCAAATGATGGAGATGCTCTATGCTGTGAAGCGTCAACCACCGTGGAAGGCAGAAAAAGATTTGCAGATATATGGCTCATTGATTCGGGAGCGACATATCACATGACCTCAAGAAGAGAATGGTTCCATCATTATGAACCTGTCTCAGGAGGATCTGTGTATAGTTGCAATGATCATGCCTTAGAGATCATTTGCGTGGGAACCATCAAATTGAAGATGTACGATGGAACAATCAAAGTTGTTCGAGATGTGCGGCACGTGAAAGGCCTGAAGAAAAATTTATTATCCTACGGATTGTTGGATAATAATGCAAGCAAGATTGAAACACATAAAAGAATCATAAAGGTGTTCCGTGGAGCTCTTGTGGTGCTGAAAGGCGAAAAGATAACTGCAAACTTGTACATGCTGAAGGGAGAGACTTTGCTAGAAGCAGAAGCCTCTGTTGCCTCATGTAGTTCAGATTCTTCAATGCTATGGCATCAGAAACTTGGACACATGTCAGAACAAGGAATGAAAGTCCTTGTGGAGGAAAAACTACTTCCAGGCTTAACGAAGGTATCACTTACTTTGTGTGAGCATTGCATAACAAGTAAGCAACACCGGTTAAAATTCAACACATCAAATTCTAGAGGCAAAAGTGTTCTAGAACTGGTTCACTCTGACGTATGGCAAGCACCAGTTACATCCCTAGGCGGAGCAAAATATTTTGTCTCATTTATTGATGACTACTCTAGGAGATGTTGGGTGTACCCTATTAAGAAGAAGTCTGATGTGTTTTCAACTTTCAAAAACTTCAAAGCGCGGGTGGAACTTGATTCTAGAAATAAAATCAAGTGTTTCAGAACAGATAATGGAGGAGAATACACAAGTAAAGAATTTGATGACTTTTGCAAGAAAGAAGGCATCAAAAGACAGTTCACAGTGGCGAACACTCCTCAACAAAATGGAGTGACAGAGCGGATGAACAGAACCTTGTTAGAAAGAACAAGAGCAATGTTGAGAGATGCAAGCCTAGAAAAATCATTATGGGCAGAAGCAGTCAATACCGCCTGTTATTTGGTGAATCGAGCTCCATCAATTGCAATAGAGCTGAAGACACCAATGGAGATGTGGACTGGTAAACCAGCTGATTATTCAAACCTCCATGTATTTGGAAGTATTGTGTATGTGATGTACAACTCCCAAGAAATTTCAAAGCTGGATCCAAAATCCAGGAAATGTAAATTCTTGGGGGTATGCTGATGGTGTAAAGGGGTATCGCTTGTGGGATCCTACTGCCCACAAAGTGATCATTAGCAGGGATGTTATCTTTGTAGAAGATAAGTTACAAAGAAAAGAAGATGATGATAGCGCTGAAAAGTCAGAGACTACACAGATACATGTGGAAAATGAGGTTGAACAAGGAGATTCTTCTGAAGCAGAACCAGCACATGATGAACAAGAACCAGAGAGTTCTGAAGCTCCAACAACTCGTCAATCAGATCGTGTGAGAAGACGTCCCAATTGGCACTCAGATTATGTTATAGAAGGTAATATTGCATATTGCCTTTTAACAGAGGACGGTGAGCCATCAACATACCAGAAGGCAATACACAGCTCAGATGTTTCACTGTGGATGATGGCGATGCAATAAGAAATCGAAGCCCTTCATAAAAATAATACATGGGACCTTGTGCCACTACCACAAGGAAAGAAGCCAATTGGTAACAAATGGGTCTTCAAAATCAAGCGAAATGGTGATGATCAAATTGAGAGGTATCGTGCAAGACTGGTGGTCAAAGGATATGCTCAAAAAGAAGGTATTGATTTTAATGAAATATTTTCTCTTGTGGTTCGACTAACAACAGTTCGAGTAGTTTTGGCAATGTGTGCTACATTGAACTTACATCTAGAGCAACTAGATGTTAAAACAACTTTTCTTCATGGAAATCTTGAAGAAGAGATTTATATGCTCCAACCTGAAGGTTTTGTAGAAAAAGTAAAGAAGAACTTGGTTTGCAGGTTGAACAAATCTCTGTACGGTCTAAAGCAGGCGCTGAGGTGTTGGTATAAGAGATTTGATTCCTTCATTATGTGCCTTGGATATAACAGACTTAATGCAGACCCTTGTGCTTATTTCAAGAGGTCTGGTGATAACGATTTTGTTATATTACTGTTGTATGTGGATGACATGTTGGTTGCAGGACCCAACAAAGATCATATTGAAGAATTGAAGGCACAACTAGCTAGAGAATTTGAAATGAAGGACTTGGGATCAACAAACAAGATTCTAGGGATGCAAATTCACCGAGACAGAAGTAATAGGAAGATTTGGCTTTCACAAAAAAATTACTTAAAGAAGATCTTGTCACGATTCAACATGCAAGATTGTAAGCCAATTTCTACCCCTCTTCCTATTAACTTCAAATTATCCTCCAGTATGAGTCCTAACAGTGAAGAAGAGAGGATGAAGATGTCTCGAGTACCGTATGCATCGACAGTGGGAAATTTAATGTTCGCTATGATATGCACAAGACCAGACATTGCACAAGCAGTGGGAGTGGTTAGTCGGTACATGGCAAATCCAAGCAAAGAGCATTGGAATACAGTAAAGAGGATCCTGAGATACATCAAAGGGACCTCAAATGTTGCATTATGTTATGGAGGATCAAACTTATTAATCAATGGGTATGTAGATTCTGACTATGCAGGGGATTTGGATAAAAGCAACTCTACTACAGGATATGTGTTCAAAGTTGTTGGTGGAGCTGTAAGTTGGGTTTCAAAATTACAGTCAGTTGTGGCTACATCCACAACAGAGGCAGAATATGTAGCAGTTACACAAGCCAGTAAAGAAGCAATTTGGTTGAAGATGCTATTGGAGGAGCTTGGGCACAATCAAGAGTATGTCTCTCTGTTTTGTGACAGTCAAAGTGCCTTGCATTTAGCAAGGAATCCAGCATTTCATTCAAGGACAAAGCACATACGAGTTCAGTACCATTTCATTCGTGAAAAGGTGGAAGAAGGGACGATAGATATGCAGAAAATCCATACCAAAGACAACATAGTAGATTTCATGACGAAGACGATCAATACTGATAAATTTACTTGGTGTCGATCCTCCTGTGGCCTGTCAGAGACATAAGCAACATGATGGTACAAGGTAGAAAGAATGGTGTGAAGATATGATTGTTCCAATCAAATCTTCAAGTGGGAGATTGTAGAAAGTCAAAAATAATAAATGGGTTGGCACCGAAAATTAGGTGCATAATTTTTTATTATTTTTTTATATGGTCAAATTACAAACTCTAGTCAATAAAATTTAGGGTATTTACAAGATTAAGTCCTTAAGATTTAGCTATAAATACCCTATCTCATTTAGCTTCAAAACCATCCCAAAGCATTCTAGCTTTCTTCCAAATACTAGAGAATTTAGAGAGTTTCTTGAGAGTTGTTTTCTCCTTTTTTATCAAGAGAGAATTATCATTGTTTTCTCCTTGGTAGATCGAGAGAGGTTGTAATTCCTATTTTCTCATAGTGAAATTCTTCTACCGTTGCCCGTGGTTTTTACCCTATATTATTTAGGGGTTTTCCACGTAAATTTTATCTCTTTTTATCTTCATTTTTATTTTCTCAAATTATCAGTTGCGATTTTACTCTATCCGATAGCCGTCTTCCGCAACAGTTTCCTAATAATGAAATATCATTTTCAAATTTTAACAGTATTAAGATGCAGAAAGCGAGTTTAAAATCTTCCTTTTATGTGGGGGTTATGATGAATATTATAGATTAAAATGATTTAAGATTTTCACGAGTTTTGGTTATAAGTTTTTTTTATAAATTATAAAGTAATTTAAGTAAAATCTAGACTAATATAGTGGTAGAAGATAGTGCGACGAGATCATCGATATCTAATGTAATTGAAGAAGACACCAAAAAATGATAATTACATTGTGAGGATAAAATTGTAAAATTTTCATCTTTGAAGAAATAAGATAAAATAAATAAGTAAAGAAAGAAAATAACGTAGATGACACATAAAGTTTATATCAATAAAATATATCTATTAACATGTATATTTATCATATTATTTTCTCATTTATGATTTAACACGTGAATAATTAAATAAAAATAATAAAAAGTTTAAATGAGAAAATTATTTTTTAAAAATTTAATAATTAAAATAAAAGTAATAAGAAAATTAAATGATAAGATTTATAGTTTAGCTATAGTTTCTAGGAGATCCATCAGCAGTGGATGCCACTGTCCTTGTCATTACTGTTTTTTTTATTTGTTTAAATTAATTATTTAATAACTTTGGATTTTTAGTATAAAATATACTAAGATACAAATTTACCCACCTCTAATATTCCGTATTTTCTTGAGCTTTTATTTTCGTTTTCCCTTTTCACTATCCATCTTTTCCCAAATCCTCGCCGATTAATTCGTTCGTTAGCAGCGATCGAACATGCCGGCGCCGGCAATTGTCTTTAAGTTTCTTCTAGTCTTGAGATCCGTTTAATCGTCTTCAGGTAAATTCTAAAACTCCTTTTGTGATATGTGCTCTTGTTTGTTTCCCGAGAAAGTGAAAGGAAAGCAAAGCATTTTTTTGTTCTTTTAAATTCAAATGTTCGCTGTCACTTCTCTTTATTCAAATTTTAATGCTTTCACTTCAATAAAAAGGAGAGCACTAGTTTGAGCGATCCTTGTCACAATAAAAGAAAACAGATCTTAAATCACTCTTAAATTTATTTATATTCTGTTCGCCATTGATGTTCTTAATAGTTTCTGTATATTTATTGAGTATTGCTGTGAGCTGGTCAAGTGTATAAATACAAACTCTTTCTTGATTTTTTTCTTTTGTTTCTGTTTTAAAATAATAAAATATTAATCTATTACATTTTAGTTATTTCTTTAATAAATTTATGGCTGTTAATTACGTGTGGTGATAGGTAAATTTTTAATGAGGGTTGACCATGTTGATAATTATTAGTGTTTAGGGAATTCAATAGCTATTATGTCAGCAATAACTTTTGGTTACCTAGGATTGCACTTTATTAGAAACTATGAGCGGAATTTAACAGCTTTGCCTTTCATTTATTGTTAAATTTGATTGTTTGGGAAGTTTTGATAACTTCACTGACTGTGAGATATGGGTGGATGCTGGAGGTGGGTCTAGTTTGCTTCAATTTGTTGAAACTTGAAGGTTGTTGACAAGAAAAACAAAGGTGTTATCTGGGTGTCCCAGATGAGAACTGATGTTATTGACTGTAGAAGGAGGAGGGTTTTTCAGATCTTCGGTGTCTGGGTATAGCAAGGGCTTGACCCTTCTCTTGGTTCAGAAGCACGAGGACAGGCCCATGAGAGTTTCGCCGTGGAATCATTACCAGTTGGTGGACCAAGAATCTGACCCTGACCTGAATCAGCTGGCTTCCATCAAGAGCCGGCTTTCCCGTGGGTGCGCCTCTTTTGTCTGCTTTGGTCGCACTTCTGCTGAACTTTATGCCCCATCAGCTTTGAAAGTTGGCCCTGTTAAACAGCAGGATGTCTTGCCGGAGCCTCTTGTGTTGAATAAAACTAATGATCACACAACTCAACTTGATGATGGAAATAGTAATGTAAGAGAGATTGCCCTTAAAAGTAGTTTGAAGAAGCGACCAATTAAGAGTCCCGCTCCTATTGAGGATGTTAATGACCGTGAGGCATCAGGAGAAAAGGATGGTGATATCCATAGTCACGCAGAACGAAGAAAGGTACAATGGATGGATGATTGTGGTAGTGAGCTAGCTGAAATCAGGGAATTTGAACCCAGGTACAAGAAATTTCTGCTCTAAACTAAAGTTCTGAATGATGCAGTAACATATTTGTTTTAAGTTAATATGCTATTGTGATATGTTTTGTCTCTTAGATTATTTGTATAATGAACTTATGCAATATTATGTCTCCAACAAGACTGGTAAGTTTGTCACACTTTTGTCTTTTCCTAAAGCTTGTTATGCAAAGGGATTTTGAATATTGAATAGAATCGCCCATGAATCTGTGGACAATCATGCCTAATAGGTTTAGTTTTTTTATTCAAGTAACATGTTCCCTTGCTTAATAAAATAATAAAAGTTTCCTATGAGTCCTGCTGACGCCCATTGCATTGTGTTATGACGTAAATAAAAAAAGGTTGGTGCAATCTTAGTCTGATACATTGGTTTCCTCAATGAATGGTAACCGCAGGAAAAGTTGAGGTAGTTACTTCCTAGTACTGTAAAAGAACATGTAGTGAGGGCTTGAAAACTTGAAATTTGATTTGAGTGATGTGATAGCATGCCACTTAGATATGAACTGGACTTCTCTGTTGATGCTATACTTTGTCAAACTTTGGGCTGGTTTCTTGGTTATACATGCATGGGAAGCTTTGCCACTGGTAGCTTGGTTATGGTTCATGATCGAATAGATCTGATTTTAGAGCGGTGGTTCTCAAGATTTGAAACCTGATGCATGCATATGTGATCTTTTGTGGTGATGTAAGAAGCCCATATATTTTTAGGCATTGTTTTTATACTCTGGAAAAAATGTGATTAGGAAACAAATTGAAAAGGAAATGTGATTGATATGCCCAACTCTTATTTAAGTTGAATAAATTGAGGGGAATCATTATTTCCTAGTAGTGGAAGTGTGTGTTATTAGTATGAGTTATGATAATTACCCTAAGAAATCATATAGATGGAAGTAAAGTTCCTTGGGACTTTTATATTTTATGAGAAAGGCCAAAGGTGCGGGATTACTTCTTAGTTTTTACTTAAGATATCTAAGAATATTCTATGAGGAAAAGGCTCTCGAATGTATCACATGAGTAGCTAATATTTCAGCTTCATTTATATAGAAAATATCAGATTTATCGTAGATTTAGAAAAGTCATCTCAAATGTTGAAAGTTCATAACTTCTTTCAACCATTTTTTGTGTTGTTCAAATTTGTTTATATATTTTGCTTTTAGATTTAAGAAGTATTTAAGTTTCATAAATTTTACTTCGTCATCACGTGTTGATTAAGTCTTATATAATTTTCATATCAATTTATCACATGAAAAAGCAACTAACCAGGAAGATAACTGATGTATCTTATTTTTCATCCATGCAAGGGGGTATTTGGTTGGTACAGATCGAACATTAGTTACATTTTGGAGCTCATGGTTTTCCTTGTGTGTAAAGGCTTTCTTATGTGACACCTTATGTTGGTCAAGGTGTTGTGGTATATGAATGGTGTGTTGAAAATCGAGGCAAGGAAAACGTAAAGAAAATTTAAATAATCTTTATTAATTCTAGGACCTCGCGCATGTTATACTAACTATGGTTTAGTTTAAAAAACGCACCCAGGCGTTGGGCACAGGTGGGCGTCGGAAAAATCACCTCCGGTGGCACAGGCGAGGCGCAGTACGGCGGGCGCGCGCTTCTTTGGACCTGTTTGGCGCAGACGCTGCCCTTTTTGCGCCTTCACGGGGGGTGGGTTTGGGGAAGAGAGAAATAGAGGAAGAATGGCTGAAAGAAGAATTTTAGAGAGAAAATGGGAAAAAAGGGGAAATAAAGAACATAAGAAAGAATAAATAAAAACGGCGGAGAGGATAAAAGTGAAACCGACGTTAAGGAATCTAATATTTTAACCCTAATATTAGGTTTACAACCTATTACAAACAGTAGCCTAAACCTATGGCCCAACTACAATACTTAATCTTTTAACCCTAATATTAGGTTTATAACCTATTACAAATAGTAGCCTAAACCTATGGCCCAACTACAATACCTATAGCCCAACTAGAATACCTATTTATTTAGCCCAACTACGATACCTATTTATTTATAAAAAGGCCTCTTCTAATATTTATCTATATTTGATTTGAACCCTAAAGTTCATTTATAAAAAGGTCCCTTCTAGCATTTACAGTTTTTATTTATTACAAATGGTAGCCCAAACTGATGTTCATTTCTAGATTTTTATAAATAAAAGGGTTCAAATCTTAATATTTATCTAAAATTGATTTATGGATTTATGGATTTTTTAATACAAAAGTGCGTTTCACCTACGAAAGGCGTGCGCCTTCACCTTGCGCCTAGGTTCCAAGGACCCTTTGCGCCTTTTAAAACTAAAAACTACAGTAAAATAAAGTCGTGAGATTACATTAATCTTTGATTCGAAAATCCTTTTTTGTTGTCTCTAATTTTCTTTCGATTTTTAAAAGTGTTGTCTTTCTGAAATATAATTACCCTCTACAAGTATCCACATACGAACGAAGAATGATTATAGAATGTTAGTTCTAATAGATTTTTCTCAAAATCTGTTTTATTGGTTTTGGTTTCGGACGATTGTAAAGAGTGATTAATCTTACTCTTGTGCATATAATATCTATATATATGACTTGATTAGGGTTAGACTAAATCCTCCGTTTTAATTAGTTAATTTAATTATTAGTAATTTACAACTCATTTTAAATTAGATAACAATTTAAATCATATAAGAATTTAATCTAAACCAAAACTTAATAAAAATGTTATTTAGTATTATTTTTGAATCAAATAAAGAAATAATAATAAATAAAATATTCTATCAAAAGAATACGAATTTAACTTCTTAAATCCGAATAATAAATATATATTTTTAAATATAATTTAAAATATAATTTAAAATAATCTCATTATCTTAAATTATTATTGAGAGTAATTAACATAACCATTTTTATTTGTACAAAAAAAACATAACCATTTTTATTCATTCTTAATGTGCAACCTATACGTTTAATCAACATTGGCAGTAGATAAAAATGACAATTGATCCTACAAGTCACAAGTGACCTCTAGCAAGATATTATGACTACTTAAGTTAAATGAAAAGCTCATGATTCTAGATAATCTTAACACAACTCATGTCATAATCCTTTTATCTCACGATATCTTGATAGAATATAAAGCATGGAAAATGTCAACCTTATACACTCTATCTTCAGTTTTTCGATATCCAGTTGAACTGACTAAACAAATAACATTTATCTCTATTAACTCATGTGAGCATGACCATGCATTTCTTAGTCTCAGTCATCAAGGGGCTCTGAGATATATCTCTTATGATAAGAGGAATAAATTTCATCTTAATCACTCATATCTAACTCCATGATCCATGTTATGTTCAAGCATAACATTTATAATTGTCCGATTAAAGACAATGTTTGATTATGTCAAAACATAATAATTATCATGTTGAGAACTGTAGTAATTTCAAGGGTAAGGATTTAATGACATAACTGTTTGAAATTAATATATAACTTTAATTCATGTGTTAATCTCAAAATGAGTTGATCCAATATTTGTTATCAACAAATACAAATGAATTTGGTTTGAATCTCGTTCACATATTCATCTCATAAATATCTATCAAATTTCATATCACTCTTATTATTGTCCCCCAATAATAACCGATTAGAGATATTTAGAATAATTAAAATATTATTTAAGGATATTAATAATAAAATTATACGTAAATTATAATAATAAAAACTAATATTCAAAATATCATGCCCATACAATATACTTAAAGTACTAATGCTAACATGGTGGATCATTACTTGCATTGATTAGAGCGAAAACAAAAAAAATTATTTTGTGCCTCTTGGATTACACTTTTGTTTGGACTTTAAGGTGTTGCACTAGTAAAATATACATAGATATATTTTTCCTATTAGGTTTTGGTGTTGCACTGAAGATAATAGTTTCATGGTTTGTATGATGCCTTGATACCCAACACTTCTTTCTCTCTGAAGGAAACTATGAGGATCTATCATATTGAAGAAGCCTAGTTTGTAGAGAAAAATGAATGGAAAATTTTACTAGTGCTTACCCTATGGCATGTTTGTATGGTCATCTGTTTGATCAGCTTCAGTGTGACCCCAACTGGCATAGTTGAGCTGTTGAATATGTGGTTTGTTTTAGATGCACGTCAACATGTATTTTCCAGAATGATAATATCATCTTCTTATATAGCGCTAGGATAGATGACGATTTAGCGGCTTTTCTCCATCCTCTGTTTTTTCTGTATTTTGCCAAAAAAAAAACTCACAAGATGAGTACGGTATGATGTCAGCATGGCTATTTAATTAGTAACCCGTTAGTTTTCCTTTCAATTCCTTGTATCAGAACTGTTAAATATGTTATCAACAGTTTCCATTTGATTGGTTTCGCAGTAATTCCCTTGCTAGACTTCTTGTTTATTGTTATATAACTGTTCAAATAGCCTCCTTTTTTTTGGGTGCAAACTCATTAATTCAGTCTTCTTCTTCTTCTTTTTTCCCCCAAATTACCTTGAATCATGCTGATGAAACTGTACCATTTTGTCTAATGTCAGTGAAACAGGTGGATCAGATGTCGAAATTGATAACGGAAATGAAGGACCTTGTTCATGTACAATTATGTAGTTTGGGGTCATTTCTCGAGTTAAATGATGCATATCAGGTAAAGGAACTTGATCTTGTTATGTTGGAAATGTTCAATTGATTTTGGGCAAAGAAGCAGCAAATGCTGTTTTGTTTTCTTGATTCTACTTGAAAACGGACTGCAACCGATAGAGAGGAGCTTTCTTTTTGGGCCACCTATTCTACAAAAAGGAACCTAAATTTAAGGTAAAAAAAAGGTAAGCTTTCTAAAATTTTATCAAATGATACATAAAATATCATCTAACATGCATAAATTGTTACAACATTTTATAACATTTTAAGCATCATACTCGAAATAATACCTAGTTTGTAACAATTTATGTATATACACAAAAATTGGTAACATTTTGGTTATGTACATAAAATGTTATATTGTTGTAATAATTTATGTATCTTCGGTAACATTTTATGTATTTTTTTTATAACATTCCAAGTAGTTTACAATTGTTTTTTACCTTAAATTAAGATTTCTCACCCTATAACTACCCCTTAGTGTATTGATATTTTTGTGTCAATATTTAAATATTCAAACCGCTTGCTTTTGAATTTGATGGAATATTGAATACTCGAATGTTTCTCTTCTTCTGAAAACATAATTATTGCTACCCCAGACTGCTTTGATGTCATTATATCTAATTAATTGATTCCTTTGGCTTACTGATTAATACATGTATTAATTGAAGAGGATCAATCTGTTTTTCCATTTATATTTAAAATTATTATCGGGCAGAGATGGAATCTGTTTTTATTTTATATTTTAAATGTAATGGGGAAAGTGTTTTTTGAAAAATGCTTTTTAGACGTGTTTTTGAAAACTGTTTCTGATTAATATTTTTGGATTGTTAGTTTAAAATTTAAGTGGTTGTGATTGTGTCGTAATCTTAACCATTATTTGTTCTGCATGTTTATTTTACCTCAAAATTGATGTTAACATAAAAAATATTTTTAAAAATTAATGCAGAGAATGTAGGGATGGGCATAGGTCGGGTTCTTGGTCAACCCGACCCGAGAACAAAGAGTCCACCTGAGACCTGATCCAACCCGACCAAAACAAGTTTTCACCCGACCCGATATATAACTTAAAAACCCGACCCGACCTGATCCGAAATAATAATAAAATTTTTTATTTAATAAAAATAGTGGCTTAATTGAAAAAAATAATATATAGAGGGTATTATTGTAATTATTTATAAATATATAAGGTAAAATTATATATTTTCGGGTCGGGTCGGGTCGGGTATTTTTCACTCTAAACTCGAATCCGATCCAACCCGAACATTACATTAAAAAAATTGATTCGATCGAACCTGATTTTTTTTAAATTTAACCTAATCAAGTCAGTCCGGATCGAAATCTGTCGAATTTGGGTCTATGCTTATCCCCTAAGAGCATGACTTAAATCTTAAAGCGATCAAATATAGTTTTTTATTGATCTCTATTAAATGTTAAAACTACGATTTATTTGTCAACTCCCGACTTTGTTATTTCTTGAACCTAGTGCAAATGACAAAGTAAAAATAAGGTGAAAATAGGCGGGGATAATGAGGAGCGGTTGAGGCAGTCATTTTTTTTAATTTTTATATATTTTAGATATTTTGTTTATATTTTCGATTGGAAATTTATTTTTATTTTTTTTAAATTTTATAAATAATGAAGATGATGTGCAGAGAAGATATATAAAGGTTATAAAACTAGATGATGGAAGATTTTTTAAATTGATTCTAAATTTAAATATTATAAGGTTAAAATAATTATGTCGTTCTGTTATTAAATTGCACCTAGTAGTTTGACGTGAAGTGTTTTAATCATGAAAAAGTCATGTATATAGAAGTGTTACAATTGAGTCATTCATTCAATCGACTGTAATGATTAAGTTATAGGTAATATAAAACATAATAGTCTATGGTAGATGGTAATAATAAATTTTATCATAAGATTTATCTCAATTTTTTTGTTCAGTTTATGAGATTAGATTTTTAAAATTATTTCTCAAAAATAAAAAAAATCACCCTAAAACGTTCAAACTTCTTACACCCTAATCTACATTATCCACCATCGGATGACATTTCTTTATAAAAACTTCACCATGATTTGAATTGTCAAATAAAGCCTATGGTGTTTAAGAAACACAAAATCCAAATCACTCATTTAGCGATTTAATTAAACTTTCTAAAATATAATGACCTATTTGTAAACTCAGTAATAAAAAATTGACTTACAATGCGATTTATCCAAAAAATAAAAATATTTTCTAACAACACCATTTAACGTGGGTTTGAGATTTAACAATACAATAATATGATTGTTACAATCAAATAATGAAGTAACTTGATTGTGTTTTCTAAAAATATTGTGACCAATATGTAAAGTTAATAATAATAGGATAGCGGTAGTGTAATTTACCATTTTTATTCTGCTGTTGAAATCGACAGGTTTACGTTCAAACCCATCCGTCTGTTGAAACTTGGCGATGCCTTAGCCACACACCCCACTTCTAGTTTCTAACACAATCTTAAGCCTGTAAGAACATAAAACGTACACAATAACAAAGAGAGAAAAAACTCAGATAAACAAAAGAAAAATAATACTAATATGTCTATGGCAACCTCGATAACATGTCTGAAAATCCGAAACCCTTGTCAACCTCCATGTTCCTCATCGGCTTCATCTTCATCTTCAACCAGTTGCAGATTGTCTGCAACAACCAAACCTTTTGGTGTGACGATAAGGAGCTCTCGAACTGACGGTCCTTTGAGAAGGCCCGTGGCACCTTCTCCACCACCTCCTTTGAAACCGGTCCCGCCGTCTTCTCCTTCTCCTCCGCCGCAATCGACGCCCCCTCCTCCTTCTTCGTCTACTCCTCCGCCTCCGCCGCCTTCAGTGGCAGCTGTTGGGGACCAGAATGTGATCACTCTGGAGTTTCAGAGACAGAAGGCAAAGGAGCTGCAAGAATACTTTAAGAAGAAGAAGCTTGAGGAATCTAGTCAAGGGCCTTTCTTTGGGTTCCTTGGGAAGAATGAGATTGCTAATGGAAGGTAAATGGAATAATAAATATGACCTTTTTATTTAGCCATGATTTTGGTTTGTCTTGATTGAGAATTGAGTGAACAATTTTTACATTGATGGATATGATATATGCCACTTTTTGATATGGTGTGTATGAATATGAATAATTGAGTTCAAATCCTTATAAATCTGTTAGTAACTTTACCAGAATAGCTTATGAGATATGAGCGCATTGCTTGATTTGATAGAATGTTTCATAGAATAGAAGTATCCATGGACTCCATGCCTGGAAAATCTTCATATCTAAATGTTAAGATTCACTCTATTAGTTTGTATGCACACTGTAATGGATTCGGACGTATCCATTCATCGTATTTTTGTCCTAAAATCTATACCTATGGAATGTGCCATGTAATAAGCTCAATTTGTGCTACTCCTGCATTCGTTTCATAGATGAATTCATCAAATCCTGCCATGATTAACAGGGAAACTTTTGTATCTTTTTAGCTTCCTGCACATTGATATTGTAACATGATGCTGATTGAAGATACATACACAGACACATGCTGTCTCTAAAACTTGAAGCCCCCATTCTTTTCACATGGTTATGCCTGATTCTATCAGTTTCATATTGCATTTAACTTGTGAAATCCTTGTTCTGGCTACTTGTAATGACATACAAATGCTTGCTAGATGTAATTGATTTGAGGGTACTGGTGTTTGTAGATGGGCAATGTTCGGTTTTGCTGTAGGGATGTTGACAGAGTATGCAACGGGCTCGGATTTCGTGGATCAAGTAAAGATCATGCTCTCCAATTTCGGGATAATAGATTTGGAATGACTCTTTTGATCTTCTTTTCTCTTGTATACCTTGTATTCATACATTATGATTTCTGTAAGTTTATCCAATGTTCTTGTTTGCATCGCTTTGAGCAAGTTGTTTACTAATGTTGTTACTTTCATGAATCAATTATAATAACAAGCCGTACCTCAACAATCTGCTTGGCTTTACAGTCTTCATTCTGATCTTTATAGCTTTTTCTGCATATATCAAGTTTCTTCGGTTCCTCTTCTGTTTACCAAGTTTTTATCACATTTTGTTCATGAAAAACTGAGAAACCTTTTATGACATTTTCTGCCCCAATGAGTGGGAAAGTAAGAGAAGAACAGGAAGAAATAATGTTCACTCACACAGCGAAATTCAAGCATTATGGCTATGTATTAGAAAGGGAATAAGCAAATCATTTAGTGCTGGAAATCATGCATTCTTCATTCATCATAGCTTGTTTATATACACTGCTGTAACAAGCCCTTAACTGCCTCTTAACAGCCTAACAACCTGCACAACCGTTCTACCAGCTCTAACAGCATGGCTTAATAGCCTAACAGCTTAACTAACTACATCACCTTAGCTGGCCAAATACTAACACGTGTAAACCAGCTATATTAGTCTAACACTATGGAAGGACATTTTGTCTCATTTTTCTTTATTTCTCTCTTTTGATCTTTAAACTACTTGTAACTCCTCACCAAATGGTACCTCTCCCTTATTATTTCTTTTGTTTATAGAAGATCATAGATTATCTTAAAATCTTCAGAATTTTACATCCTTCAATCAGTTAAAGACCTTTAATATAAATAGACATCATTATTTTGGAACTGATGTCAATACTAAAAATTTGTATGTAAATCATTATGTAAAACCAGAGAAATGACTTATTCTTCTGCTGACTCGAACTCTCTTCTTCCCCTATTGTTCCATTATTTATCATCATTTTCCGTCTATTAAATGACTTATCGCAGTTGTATTATGTGTATTTTATGTGTGAATGCATACATTTTCAGTTAGACATTCATTAGTAACTTGAGTTTGAACATTTATATGATCTGTTCAGTTGTTATCATATTGGGATTTTCTCTTGTGTTTGATTGCTTGGATAGTTGTTCTCTTGCTTATTCAAGTTTCCTTAGCTTGTATTTATAGCTTGGAATGTATTTGATGTTGTATATACCTTGATGGTGTATGTTGCGATCAACGCGAAAGTCAAATTCGCAACGCAAAATAAGCGTTGCGAATTTGACTTTCTTGTTGCGAATTTGACTATCGTAACGCTTATTTCGCGTTGCGAATTTACCTTCAACAGGTCTTTTTTACCTTCAACATTATTCAAATTGAAAATTAAACAACAAATCAATTAAACATTGTTGTGGGTACATTATTTGAACATTGTTATGGGTACATTATTTGGAAAAA